GCGTGCGTGGCCAGGCCGCATCGGGCCTCCGCGGAGCAAGCTGCGGCCACCCACGAGTGTGCACCAACCTCCTGGTGCTTCCCCACCATTCCCCCGCCGCCGTCGGCCCTTCTCCGGCCGCCACCGGTCAATTCCGCGGCGTCCTCTGTTTCAACCTTGCGTGGAGGACCTCAGGCTCAAATTCGAGTAAAGGGGAGGGCCTAAGTGCATAACCACTGACTCATATGAATAGTGCCATTGAGGACCTATTTGCGGTAAATTTACTGAATCTTTGGAAATTCATAGTAATTCATAGGAAATTCGTAAAATAGCAAATGAGGACTTTTTGGAATCCTTATGAAATTCTCTATGCATTAGATCTATCATATGGCATGTTTTAGTTTAAATATTTTGCGGTAAAAATAGATTTGTGCAGTAAGGTTGTAATGCTAGTTGAATTTATTATTTTCCATAACTGCAGATCTAGGGCTCCAAATGAAGTGAAATTTTTGTGGCATGCTACTCATGTGATAGTTGATGTGTGGTAAAAATTTTATGGTCATTGGTTGCTGCATGAGTGAGTTATTGGTTTATCTTGCTCTCACATGATTTCTTGCTTTAGCAACTTGTCCTTTTCATAGAGGTTGCTATACCTATTCCAATGTAGTAAAATTTGTACATTAGACTATTGAGAGTATATGTGAGCCACTATAATTTTTGTAGATGTTATTGTGCACTTTTGGTATATGTTCATGAAGTCACCTTGCTATCTAAAATAAATTAAGAAATGCATTAAAAGAATTTATTTGGTCATGGACACTAGGTTTTCTAGTGTTCTTTAGTCATGTGTGACATGTTGGTAAGGTTGGTTTTGCCCAATTATGTGTTTGCAACATAAGTTAATAATTATTTTCTTGCCAATGTGGTTTATGGACAGATCTGGGAACTTAGCAAAGTTCTTCATGATAATGTGTTTTGTTGTGAAACTTGTTTATACAAAAGTTGTAGATAATTCATGTATCTAGCTTCTATTAAAATTTGGTGTCATTTGGCCTAGTAGTTCAAGAGTTACAGCTGTTTAAAGTTGGGTTACAGAATTGATTGCTCTCTGTCTTGTTTAGACCAGTTTCTGTAAATGGGTATATTTGACTTAGTTAACTTGAGAATCATGCTAAGATGATTAAAGATGAATTGTAGAAAATTTCATAAGCTTTCTAGATTGTCTTGTTGTATGTCTTTTGGATTAGTACAACTCCTGTTATGAGTAAAATTAGCTGCTGCTGTTTGCAGCCTTGACTCTATGATTGCCGTGAATAACTGGTTTGTCTTGAATGCTTATGTGATGCATCTCGTGTTACCATTCATCACATTCATACACATGCATCTTGCATCTCATCTAGGTGCGCTAGATGAATCACGTGAAGAACGTGATGTTGGAGCCGAACCCGACGACGGTGTATGGAGGATCTATCCCGAAGATGGAAGGACTAAGCGAGTGCTAGGACCTGAGATGTCATCAGGACGGTGCAAGCTAACTGAACTGACTTGTGTCGGATCCCAGGCAAGCCCCAGAGCATTATAAGTCTCCTAATTTATAAAAGCAATTCTTTCTATATATATGTGTTTATATATTGTTGCATTAAGTTGTAGGAGTTGATTGAAACCGTTGATGCATTTATTACTATCCTTGCCTACCTTATTACCTTTTACCCTGTTAGGTCAGGATCGAATAACTGCTTAGCCTTGCTTAGACCAGTAGCGATCGGTGATATCCAGTCACCTATATTATAGGTAGTTACTGGAAGAATTTAGCTATGGAAAGAATGATATCCTGGAAGTAACCATGTGTGATGGATAATTGGAGACCGGACGGAAAAGTTGGAGGCAACCAGATAGGGTTCTGGGGTACTGTTAGTTTCCGTCTGTGTCGATTAAGGACCGACCGTTGTTGGGCCTCGAGTCATGTTGAACGCATGCCTTACATTTAGCTGGCCGAATAAAGCACCTTTCGACCACGAAGCTGGGAGATTATTCAGGCCGAGTAGATTGCCCGCAGCGCACTGTACCAGAGCAGGTGTGGTAGGACACGGAGGCGCGAAGATAAGACCAAAGAGCAGTCGGTCGGCCCCCGGGTACATGTGGTTCCTGGCAAACTCGAGATTCCTGGATAGTTGACTTGGTGACCGATACCTCACTTTAGCGGGTGAGTGAGGTTTGTGTAAGGAATAAATCACCAGCTGGTTAGGAATCGATTCGAATCGCCATCGCTCCTGGATAGTGAGCACTTGACTCAAGTTACGGCATCGTAGTAATTATTATGGAACAATGATGGTTATCTGGATGGTATGGGATATGCTAAATCTAAATTGGTAACTGGATGTTATTGGTTAATCAAGTGATTGCTATAGTACAGGTGCTTACCTAGATGGATAGGTTATAATAAAGATGATGCAAAGTACTTAAAATGGTTTCTTCATGATAGCTTATGCCTTTCGCAAACGAGTCAGCTAGCCCACTAAAGAAAGCCTTGCATAATCCTTGGTGTCACTTTATTTCTGGTTTATGACGGGTAAGTCTAGCTGAGTACATTCGAGTACTCAGGGTTTATCCCACCTTGTTGCAGGTGAAGTCCTCGACTTGTTGTTGATGGTGGCTAACCGCCGGTGGGCTCGGTGATTCTATATTTACTTCTCGTCTATATGCTTTTGTCTGAGAATGTCACTTATGCTAGCAATGTATTTGGAACTTATATTAATGTAATCATTTGAAAGCTATGTTGTTTTCAATAATTGGTTTTGAAACCCAAACTTGTACTATTATTTGTGAACCCATTTGTAATATTATTTCTGCTGCAACTCTGCGTATGTGATGTGTATTTGCTTAATCACGCGATCTTGGTTGTGATGTTGATTTACCGAGGTCTTTCGGGACACTCGGCGGACTACCGGGTTTATATAAGTGAAAGTAGGTGCGTGTCAACGTGTTAGCGGGGACAGCCGTACTTGATCTTGTATAAATTGGGCGGTTCTGTCACACTATCCACTAGGTGTTGGCCGGACTGTGCCCATGGTGAACGATGGCTTGCTCAGTATGCCGCCACGGGATGACGCTTCGGCCGAGGATAGTGACAACTCCGTTGCATACTACCTTAAGAGCTTCACAAAGCGAGTGTTGAAGAAAGTCAACTCCCCTCTAATTCGTCAGCCTCCCAAGCAGCCGTCACCTTCTAAGCCGGCACTCCTAAAGCGGAGCAAACGGCTCAAAGTTTAGAGCCTCTCCTGAATACGTGTCCAAGCGAGGTGAGGTCCTTGTCATACAGTGTATGGGCTTCGCTATGGGTCTTTCAACGCCAAGCACGTCGGAACGGAAGGAATATGACGAACTCTTTGACGACAAGTTGACCGCTTCCAACATCGGAGCATTGGATGCGCTCTTGAACGACGTCGAGAAAGGATCGCGTAGACAACAACGGAGATGCAGGGCCACCTCTTAAGTTGCATCGCTACACATACTTTGGTTGTATACCATTTGTATAATATTTAAACCTGAACTCGTATGCTAGGACGGTCTAGCAGCTCCGGCTATCACTGTAGACCTTCTAGGACGCTTGCAACAAGCGTGTGACTTGTATGGTTACATTACAACCTTCTATTTAATTATAATAATATATAAATTTTTTGCGTATTCAAGAGGGCAGGTATATTCATTGGTACCCCATGTGTTGAAAATACACCCAGCTATCAATTCCTCTCATCTCATAGGTTACACTGGATTAATATAACGTTCTCTTGCATTAATTCCTTGTACTTTTATTGTTACACTGGCTTGTTTCTCTAGATTTATTCTGTAGCTGGTCGATAATTAACATGCCCATCATATATATATATATATATATATATATATATATATATATATATATATATATATATATATATATATATGTGTGTGTGTGTGTGTGTGCTGCCATCCGATCGAGAATGGATTGTTTTCTAATCTTGGCAATCAACGAAATTGTAGTCAACAGAAAGGTGGCCGGTGGCCATGTGATAAAACATGAGCTCCATGCATACGATCATGCTCGGAGATAGAGGATGAGGAGATCAGCGAGGGTGTCCTAACCGAGAAGGAGGTCCAAAGTTTATCCGGTTCGAGTCACCAAGGTAGAGGCCCAAATCAAGTTCGAGACCATCTCGGGTTTTAGGACCAGTCTGTCATAAAACTGATCACACGGACATGTCTGGGCCCTGTTTTCGACAATCCACATATGGATGAAAAGCTAATTAGATAAAGGAAGCTAATACAAGTGGTCTCACGTCAAAATCCCTTCGGAATCAACGGGAATCGTCGAAACAAGTCAGCGTCCAGAATTTGCCAGGGTGCTGCGACACCGTCTTTTGGTCCGTTGGACCGTGTATCGTGTTTGGGCCTATTAGGGGCGCGTCCAGGGGGTGACGTCCGGGGCTCTATAATTAGCAGCTGTCGCTCTCCTTAGGGTTTGGGTTTTGTTGAGTTCTTGATTTTCTCGTGAAACAGACGTCGGTTTGCTGCAACTGTGCCGCCAAGGTCGCTTGCTGTGAACCAGGGCCTCTGTTCTTGATCTTGTTCGCTTTGGCGATTAGTCCTTTCGAATAAAGACTTGAACTTCTTTTCATTATCATAAGCCTCATATTTATTTACAATTTCAGATTACGTTCATCCCGTTCTTCCTTGTGTTCTCGATTCGCTTATAGGAAAGCCTTCTCGGCGAGGTCAATCACGTTCGCGTGGTTGATAACTAACGGAGCAGTGGTGTAACGGTTGCGAGGGTCCAAATCAGTCTTGGTTCGAAACTTAGATCGTGAACGTCGAGTCTTCACCAATCGACACTATCATAACTATCGGAAGATCGGGTCTCGTCTGCGTCACCATGCCACCTCCATCGGTGTCAATTTGGTTGAACACCGAGATGTCCAGGTCGAGCCCGCCATTGTCGCACTGGTCCACCACCCTGGCCACCGAGCTCGTCCCTGTCACCCTGTTCGTCACCTGCTCAAGAAACCACTGTCGATTATGTTGCGAGTGCGAGAGAAGAGACAGACAGACCCACAAGAGGGAGAGAAGAGTGCATGCATTCGCACCTCGAGGCAGCGGCCACATGAGGGCTGGCCATGTTCACCGGCAGGGCCACAGAATGCCGTCCAGCCATAACGCTGCCGCCACGCCAGCGGCATGTCGGCATCCCATGTAGCGCAGAGCGTGCTCGCCTTCCGCATGTCCCAGTTTATGCTCTGTGGGTTGTACAGGTTGTACGTCGCAAACACACCGTGTGCTTCCTGCGCCTTCGCCCCATCAAAAGCGGCCAGGACGAACATGGCCGACGCCATGAGAGAGAGGAGTGACACCCTTGAGACTGCCATTATATTGTTCTCTCTATATACTCGGAGTCTCGGACTAGTACTATTGTTCTGTAAATAATTTGCTCAGTAGAGATGTGTGCATGCATTGGTTCTATAGGGCCATATTTATAGCTGTTGATGGCTACACTAGCTTCAAGTGCAAACAGAAAAGCGATGACTAAGCTGGTGCCTAGTAGCCGTATTTAAGCTGTGATATGTCCCAAATGGACTCTTGTTTTCATCGTCTTGACCTGGTAAGATGTTCATGCGACAAGAACTAGAACATGCATGGTTACACAATCTATGCCTTATTACTACGTCAGTTAATATGACTTATATGCGATGAGGTTGATGGTTCGCTTCCATATGTAGGTATTTAATTTGCAACTGATCGATGAGCATAAAAGGCTTGAAGACTGCTGTACCTATATGTACATAGTGTCTGATGGACCAGGATCCTATGTGTTTCTTCTTGGACCAACTACTCGGAGGTTTTTTCTAGGCCGGCCCAAGGTTTGCTTGAAGACACAGAATAAGGTGGCGTGATCTCCAAGTATTCAAGAACCGACCTAGACCAACATTTAGGGAAAGTAGTCTTTGCAATAGAACTAGGACGCTCCAAATGTAATCAACTAGGATTAGAACAATCATCCTGCCCTCTGACCTATACAAAGAGAGGCATGCGGAACCCCTTGTACATCAACTCAATCATATAATCCAACACAAAGGCTTACGCCGAACTAGACGTAAAGGCCATTACTTGATTACGAGGGCCTGAACCAATATAAAAATCGTTCGTCTTCGTGTTTTATGCTGAGTTCTGTATACGCCGAAGCCCCTTGAATAATTGTCTCGAGTAACCCCATGATGAGTTGCCGGTCAACAAACACCGACAGCTGGGGCGCCAGGTAGGGGCTTTCGGCGATTTTACGATCGAGAGCTCGACGGACCTCGACATCAACATGAGTTTCTCGCCGGGTTCCGAGTTCATCTTTGGCGCTTGGGTCTGCATGGCTGATGACGAAGGCAAGCTCAAGCCCATCTCATGAAGATTCAGGATGATCAAGCTCTGCCAGTTCAATCTGAGGATGCGCTGGAGGATCCAAGATTTTTCAATTTTCGATTCTACAAAGATCTGTTCTGACGAGTTCGAGTCCTACTCGGACTCGGTGACTGGTGTCCTACCTCGACTCCCCTACGAGTTACACAATTCAGCTTCCATCTATCAGGAGTCAGGATCGGGCATGTCTCCACATGGCCAACAGATTCCCTTGGGTGGTGCACAACAGGGCCTGGTGTTCACATCCACGTCTGAAGGCAATATTGTGCACTGGCCGCTTCGGATCATGTCTCCTTCTCGGGTGGTCAGTACCCTGTCTCAGCTTCCGTTCTAGGTTGGCACTCCACTGCCCGCCTTTGAGGATCAGGGGAGTACTGAGATTATCTGCAGTGCTGATACAGCTGAATCTGGAACAGACAACACTCTCTGCTATTCTCATAGCCGAGAGCTCTTTATGATGCGTCAACCTTTGCAACCACCCCAGAGGCCCGATGTCCACCCAGATGATGAAACTCCGAGTGAAGTCTCAGATGAAGATCCAGAAGTACCCGGAGAATCTGATCAAGACAAGGCAGCATACCTGAAGAAGAACAAAGCTAGAGTAGCCTGTAAGCATCGTGTAGAGCATCGCAAGGAGGCTATGCGGCGCTATGATGCTGCTCTGAAGGATTATGAAGAAGAACTTGCTCGACAACGTCTGCAGGATGAGGCCGAGCGAGATCATGTCGCAAACGCTCAGTCCCAGCATAATGTCAATCAAGATCGTGAATGGGCTCGTCAGGGAGTCTCACGCAACCTGGAACCAGAGTTTATCCAAGTCGTAGGCCACAACGTCTATACCACTCCATATCAGAATATCCTGGCTGTGGAAAATGCTCTTGCTGCCAAATCTAATCCAAATCTAGACGATGAAAGGCTCAAAGTTTTTCTGCAATCCGCCCTCTTACAGCTTAATTGACTGCAGCTTCTATGCATATCCCAATCGGACCGAATCCTGCCATGCCAAATCAAGGCCATCCTGCATCTCAGCAGCATGGGAGCCAAGTCAATCAAAGCCAGCGGGGTAGCCACAACAACCCTCACCTCCGTCTGGGTGATCTCCGCAATCGTCTAAGCAACAGGGAGGGTGGTGCAGAGTCTGCTTACAGGGGTGGTCCTGTCATTGATGGCTTTGCTTGTTTCTCTGATAGGCTCAAATCGGTCCAGCTTCCTCACAAGTTTAAACCCTCTAATTACTCCAAGTATGATGGAAAAATAGAGGCATGGCAATGGTTACGTGTGTACTCTACAGCTTGTGATCTGGCAGGAGGGAACGATGATGTCAAAGCTCTATTCTTTCCAATGGCACTCGAGACAGTTCCGCTACAGTGGTTCAATAAACTCCGTCCTGGGTCAATAGATAGCTGGGAAGATCTCAAGACCATGTTTGCGGAAAATTTTGTAGGAGTACTTACTCGCCCGAGTACTCGGAATGAGCTCAGGAATTGCAAGCAAAAACCCAACGAGTCGCTCCGAGAGTATTATCGGCGTTTTTTCAGAGAAGCGTTCAACTATCTCTGATGTCTCCGACTACGATGTGATTGAATTCTTCTTAGATGGAATTTTGGAATGTTGGCTGTACCAGGACTTCTGCAGGAATTGGCTGCGGAATATTGATGACTTCCGCCGTCACGTCCAGAACCTAATCAATTCTGAGGAGCGTACACGCGATCGATTCCCTGGTCGCCAATCTAATCGCAATAATAATCAACTGAGTCCTCAGAAGGGGCAGCAGAATCGTAAGGGTACACAACAAGGTTACCCGCCTCGACAGCAATCGGGCCAGAAGCGGGGCGCTGACAATACTGTTGCCTCTATGCATCCTCCTAATCAGGATAGCAGACCTCAAACATTCAAAGATCTCCTTCATATGAAGTGTCCGTTCCATCCAGACGGTAGTCATACCGCCGCTCAATGCAATCAGCTCAAAAAGCGTGGTCTTTCCTCTAAAGCAGATAAGGGCAAGGCCAAGCAAAATAAGAATTTTAACAGAGACAAGAATAACAAGGATCAGGATGATCAAGGCGGTGGCAACAATTTTCAACATCCTATGGGGACCGTTGCTGTCATATTTGGTGGAGTGACTGCAGCTGCATCTAAGTCACAGAAGAAGCTTACTCTGCGTCAAATCGTTACAGCAGAGCCCTCCACTCCAAAGTACCTGCCCTGGTCTGAGTACCCGATTCACTTCACTCTGGGATGATCAATGGACCAGCTACTCCAACGCTGGCCACTATCCTCTGGTTTTAGATCCTACTGTAGCTGGATATTGGCTAACCAAGGTACTCATCGACGGTGGCGCTGGTGTGAACGTCATCTTTGATGATACGTTGAAGAAGATGGGCCTCGACTCCATGGATCTCCTTACTCCGACTGATGTCCCCTTCTACGGTATAGTACCCGGAAAGGCGGCTATGCCTCTTGGGCAGATTACTCTTCCGGTTACATTTGGCACCCCCGCCAATTTCAGGATAGAGTTCATCAAGTTTGAAGTTGCTAGTTTCGATTCATCCTACAATGCCATCTTCGGTCAAATTGGAGTTAAATGCTGGTTCTAAACAGGTCAAACAGAGATTGCGGCATTTCTGACCAGATAAGAAAGAAGCTATCAAGAACGAAATCACCAAGCTACTAGCTGCCGGGTTCATCAAAGAAATCCTTCACCCTGAGTGGTTGGCTAATCTCGTGTTAGTTCGAAAGAAGAATTTGGCCAAGTGGCGCATGTGTGTTGATTATACAGACCTCAACAAGCATTGTCCGAAGGATCCATTCGGTTTACCCCACATTGATCAGATTGTGGATGCAACAGCAGGCTCAGTTTTACTCTCCTTTCTTGATTGTTATTCAAGATATCATCAGATTGCTCTCAAGGAAGAAGACCAGCCTCATACAACATTCATTACCCCTTTTGGGGCTTATTGTTACACCACCATGACTTTTGGATTGAAGAACGCATGAGCCACATATCAGCGCGCTATTCAAGCTTGTCTTGGTGATCAGATTGGTGACAATGTTGACGCTTATGTGGATGACATGGTGGTCAAATCCAAGGACCCATCCACCTTAGTCATTGACTTAGAACAAACCTTTAAGAATCTTTGGCGGTTCAGATGGAAGCTTAATCCGACTAATTGTGTCTTCGGTGTTCCCTCAGGGCAGTTACTCGGATTTCTTGTCAGTAATCGTGGGATTGAAGCTACTCAGAAGCAGATTAAAGCTATCACATCCATGGGTCCCCCTACTCTGCCAAAGATGTCCAGAAGCTTACTGGTTGTATGGCTGCCCTCAATAGGTTCATCTCACGGCTTGGAGAGAAGGGACTACCTTTTTCAAGTTACTCAAGAAGTCAAGGAAGTTTGAGTGGACGGACGAAGCTAATGAAGCGTTTGAGAAGTTAAAGGCCTATCTTACAAGCTCCCCAGTGCTTACCTTGCCCCTCAAACGAGAACCTCTGCTACTCTACATTGTGGTGACTACTCACGTGGTCAGCACGGTTATAGTAGTCGAGCAAGAAGAAGGACATGTTTACAAGGTGCAGCGACCAGTTTATTATATCAGCAAAGTGCTCTCTGATTCAAAGGTCTGGTACCCTCAAGTTCAGAAACTACTTTATGCCTTGCACATTACATCACGCAAGCTTTGTAACTATTTCGATGGACATGAGATTGTGGTGGTGACCAACTACCCGCTTGGAGACATACTGCACAATCGTAATGCAACAGGTCGCATCTCCAAGTGGGCTGTGGAGCTTGGTGCTCTCCGTATTAGCTTTTCTCCATGCAAGGCTATGAAGTCCCAGGCTCTAGCAGATTTCATTGCTGAATGGACGGAGATCCAGTAGTCTGTACCTATTACAGTCCTAGAACATTAGAAGATGTACTTTGATGGATCATTAAAGCTTGGTGGTGTGGGTGCGGGTGCA